AGCCTCTTATGTCACTTTAAGGAAAAACAAGAAGATAGATCTAAGAATGGTATTTACAGGTGCCTGTTCATGCTTTCTGTATGTGTGTAAATATATCTCCTCAATATATGTTTCACTCTATATGCATCCGAAGAAGTGGGCTGTAGCCCACGAAAGCTTATGCTCTAATAAATTTGTTAGTCTCTAAGGTGCCACAAGTACTCCTGTTCTTTTTGCGGATACAGACTAACACGGCTGCTACTCTGAAATCAGTGCACCCAGCTGCCACTGTAGGGTTGTCTCCTAAAGTCCCGTTTTTTGTGGCAAGAAATACTGCACTCACATCCTTCATATCCTTGAAATTGCAGTGCTGTGTTTAAAAGTGGGCACGCCCATAATAGCACACGCCTGGGGCCAGTGGCATGCCTGGCTCCAAGAGCGATAGAGCCTGAGCCAAGCGAGTGAGAATATTTCTGGTGGTTTGACAGGCGTATGATCAGTTCTCGTGTCTCTGCTCGTGCTCCAGCTTGCAAAGCTCAACCAGATCCCTTGGCTTGGCTCTGAGTCTCCCAGCTTGGCCAAGTCTAAATGGTAGACTCTAGGCCAGGGACGGGCAAACTTTTTGGCCTGAAGGCCACATCAGATTACCAAAATTGTATGGAGGGCCGGTTAGGGGAGGCAGTGCCTCCCCAAGCAGCCAGGTGTGGCCCGGCCCTGCCCCATCCGATCCTCCCTGCTTCTCGCCCCCTGATGGCCCCCCCGGGACTCCTGCCCCATCCACCCCTCTCTGTCCCCTGACCGCCCCAGAACCCCTGCCCCATCCAACCCCTCCTCTCAATCCTGATTGCCCCTCCTGGGACCCCTGCCCCATCCAACCACCCCTCTCTGTCCCCTACCGCCCCCAGAACCCCTGCCCCTGACTACCCCCCGCCGCCCCATCCAACCCCTCCTCTCAATCCTGACTGCCCCTCCTGGGACCCCTGCCCCATCCAACCATCCCTTCTCCCTGACCGCCCCTGGAACCCCTGCCCCTGACTGCCCCCCGCCACCCTATCCAACCCCCCCTCTCCTTCCTGACTGCCCCCCCAGGACCCCTGCCCCCATTCAACCTCCTGTTCCCTGCCCTCTGATTGCCCCAACCCCTATCAACCCCCCTATTCCCCATCCTCTGACCGCCCTGAGCCCTATCCACACCTCCGCCCCGACAGTCACCCCGAACTCCCCTGCCCTTTATCCAAGCCCCCCACCCCCGCTCCCTGCCCCCTTACCGCGCAGCACAGAGCACCGGGTCAGCGCAAGACTCTGCAGCGGCACTGCCTGGCAAGAGCTCGCCTCCTAGAGCATTGCTCCAGTGGCGGAGTGAGCTGAGGCTGCGGGGGAGGGGAGCGGGGGAGGGGGCGGGGGCTAGCCTCCCGGGCCAGGAGCTCAGGGGCTGGGCAGGGAGGTCCCGTGGGCCGCAGTTTGCCCACCTCTGCTCAAGGCTCTCCCCTAGGCTTTCATGTGACCATTATTGGATTTGTTAGTCTACACTAGATTACTTAAATGTATGGGGTAACCCTTTTATCCTAGTCCAAAGAAGGCCTTGGGCTGAGTATAACAGAGGCAGAACAGACTCTAGAGAAATGTCAGGGTTTGTCTTAATCATCCTACCTTCTAATCTTGCTGCTTAGTCCAATTCTACAGTAAGCTCTCATTTCCTTGTAAATCTGACCTTTAATTGTCTCTGTCTTTACAGTAAAGCGCTTTCAGGAGCCAAAAGAAGAGAGGCGTCCCTGGAGGATCTGGTGAGAAATAGCTTTTTTTAAAAGCTCTGAACTAAGGGGAATAGATTCTGTCTCGTAGAACGGCTTTTTATGGTTACTCTGATCATTAATGGGCTTCCAGGTCCTTCCTGTTCCTAAATGTTTAACATGGAAATAGTGAACAGACTGAAATTCTTAGTGGTGGTACTTCCTATAAAGTTCCCATCACATTATGGATGAAATTGATTGAAATACTGTAATCCCAGATGCTACAGGGTATTTGGCCCTATTTAGTACCTTTTACTGTTTGTTGAGAAGTCTCCAGGCATTACCAGCTCACTATCATTAGATCCAGACAGCTGTATGCAGTTCCCAACATAATGTTTGTTATGCTGCAGTGAGAGCCAAGTTCAAGAAACCTACTACACCTGTGCATTTGTAGCTAAGAGATGTAGAAACAGGTCTCATATCAGGGACTGAATGGCTTCATGACGGTGCAGGAGAGCCTCTCATCGCTAAGATACCAGCTGAAATCCGGCCCAGCTCAGTAGTCACCGAAAGCTTTCGCAGTGTCCTGTCATCTTACATGGGCTCTGAACCAAGTTGGTGATTCAGTCCCGTTCCCAGTATACAAATGGGAAAAGCACCTTCACAGTTGGTGCTGACTTCCTTCTTGCTGGCAGCCTCAGCCGGGAGGTCCAGGCCTAAATGGGCTTATGGAGGCTCAATTCTCCTCCCACATCTCCACCCTGTTTCCTAATAGCACCCTCACTAATGCTGCATTCAATGTTCCGGGGGCTCACATCCAGTGAACTCTCTGAAATGCATGTCTGGTAATGGTGTAAATCCATGAGTCGCGCTTGCTGCTCCTTGTGGGGGTGGGTTTTTCAAAAGCACTTGCCACCAGCCTACTCTGCTCCCATTTACTTCAATGAGAGCTTCTGGGAATCCCACCTGTGGATTACAAAAGCTCCTTGTGTCAGGCTTGATCTGAGATCCCCATCTTCACAAGTGTGATTTCGTGTGCCGGCTAACTCTCTACTGCTGCTATTGGAAAGGTTGTTGCATCTAATCTTTTCAGGTTTTATGATACCTCCAAGCAAGCAATAGGTGCCCTCTTCATCCATTTTGCTAATGTTTTCCTGTCTGGTCATACTGCAGAAGATCCCTGCTCTCTGTGAGTATAGCATTGTGCTTGTGTAGCCAACACACCTTCTGGGTGTGGTGTTCTGTCCCGGAGCGGGGGAGAGAGAGTTTGCTCGTTCTACAGCCTTAGCTAACATCTGGTTGGCTTTTAGCTCATGCGATAGAGGCTCATGCACTAAGCTCTAGAGGTCCCAGGTTCGATCCTGCCTGCCGACGCCCAGGGTCTATCGGTGTTACACTTGCATTAATGTTCTATAGTTGGGAGTGGAGGAATCTAAATTCGCTTGCATCTATCGTCTCTACTGTAGAAACAGACGCTGACTTAGATCCTCTTAATGCTGTTAATTCCCATCTAACCGTCTGTGTTTCTCGTCTGGGTGGAGGCATCTGGGGTTTTCAAAGTATCTGGCACTCTACTGGAAGTGCAAAAATGAATGTGCAGCTGCGTTCCTGGTCTGCCGGTGCAGTTATTTGGGGGGGCAGAGCTGTCCAATGGCTGAGATTCTGGAGATCTGGGCTCTGTTGTCAATTGCTGTGTGACCTATTCGGGGCCGAAGGAAGATTTTTCCCAGTCCTTGTAAAGTACTCTGAGACCTATGGATAAATATATTTGCACATTAGAATTACATTTGGTACACATGCAAGCTAAATGTGTAATTGTCTCTTGCACGTCTGACTTTCTGAAATCAGGCCTTTTAGAGGAGAATCCTAGTTTAAAATGTCTGCCTTTACCTGTGCTATTAGTACTTCATACTATTAAAGCCATAAAGATGTGTTGAAATCTGTTACTCTTGTTTTTCCAGCTGATTTTCATTCAGTGTCACTTTCTGGCTCTCCCGCACTAGCATTTGCGTTCACACTATTGTAGAAGACTGGGGGAGGGGTGTAAATCAAAAGAAAGACTTGGCCTTTCTTTTACCACAAGTCATTTATTCATACTAGACTTAACTCCTCCTCAGTTTTTTTGACTGACTCCATTAGAATTACGTGGAAACTTCTCTGGCCTTTGGTATACGGGAGGTCAGATGAGATGATCACAATGGTCGCGTCTGGCTTTAGAATCTCTGAAAGCCCAGCTATAGTTATAAAAAAAAAAAACAGTTGGCTTTGAAAAAAATTGGTAGTATCTCTTTAAATGGTGTTGGCCCAAAGTTGAACCTACTCTTCTAATTTGCAAAGTCTGATTCTTCATACCTTAAACAAAAAAGCGCAGCAGAGCTCGGTGTTCCCCCACTTCCTTAACATGTATGTTACTGTTAGGTAGGGTTGCCAACCCTCCCACTTTGCCAGGAGTCTTCTGGAATCGGGCTCTATCTCCCTGAGGCACTGAAGCCAGTCTGGGAGACTTTAGCTCACTTAAAGTCCGTTGGCGCAGCAGGCCTAAGGCAGGCTCCCTGCATGCCCTGGCCACGTGCCGCTCCGGGAAGCAGCCAGCACACCCTTGCGGCCCCTGGGAGGGGCAGGGGGTCTCCACATGTTGCCCCTGCCTACAAGCACCACCCCCACAGTTCCCATTGGCTGGCTGCTTCTGCGAGCAGCACAGGGCCAGGGCAGGCAAGGAGCACCGCCAACCAGAAGCCACCTGATGTAAGTGCTGCCCGGCCAGAGCCTGCACCCCTCATCCCCTCTGTACTCCAGCCCACAGCCCCCTCCTGCACCCAAACTCCTTCTCAGAGCCCACCCCCCCCCAGTCCTGAGCCCCCTCCTGCATCCAAACTCCCTCCCAGAGCTTGCACCCTGCACCTCCTCCTGTACCCCAACCCTCTGCCCCAGGCTCAGCCTGGAGCTTCCACCCACACTCTGAACCTCTCGGCCCCAGCCCAGAGCCCGCACCCTCTCCCGCAACCTAACCCCCTGCCCAGGGCTGGTGAAAGTGAGTGAGTGTGGGGGAGAGCGAGACAGAGGGAGGGGGGGGTGGAGTGAGTGAGGCAGGGCCTCGGAGAAGCGGCGGGACAAGGACAGGGCAAGGATGGTTGGGGTTGTGTGATTAGACAGTTGGCAACCCTAATGTTAGGGACTATCGAAGTACTTATGTCCATGTAATCTGAGCCTTGAACAAGGTAATTTAGCGTCTCAGGGCTTTGTCCATGGACTCTGGCAGAAGAGATACAAAGCCTAGGCCCCAATCCTCTAAAGAAACTTAAGTACGTGTGTAACTTTAAAATATGTATGAGGCTACTGAAATCCCAGAGAATTACTCTTAACACTGAGTAACAGTGCAGTGATAAGCCAGTGTGTACGGGGAGGGAAGATTTGCTAAAGTGTTCCCAAGGTGGTTATAGCTTAAAAGATGCAAAGATTGGATATTGAAATAGTCATTCATTGGGCTTTATCTCTTTGGAGTTCTGAAAAGAAAATTTCACATCATTCATGAATATACAATAAATCAAAACTGAATACTGATTTCCTAAATACCATAGAAGATATTCTCTGGCTAATTTGATCCTGTAACATATCATGAACAGAATCTTAGAACTTTACAGATGAGGAGTCGGGGCACAGGGGAGACTTTGGACCCAATTCTCCTTTCATTTGTGGCTTCTCCCTTGTATAGATTCTATACCAACAGTACTGTTGGCTTTAATGGAGTTATTTCATAGTCTCACCAATATACAAGGAAGGAGAATCGGGACTACTGCATATAATGAAGCTTGTCTTATCTGAATGGGGACTTCCAAAGTATCTATCAGAATCTATTCTGATTCATTGGGAGTTAAGAACCCAACTGAGCCTGAATTTTCAAGTGTTACAGAGGGTGTTTTCTCCCCCCTCTCTTAGCTACCTAATGAATTTCATCCTCGATGCCACACTGGGGATGCTGCTGATCTGGTTCGGTGTGAAGGTTGTCTCCTGGGTTGTGGAGCATCGGAAGTACACATGCCTAGTCTTTGGAGAGTATGGTAGGTGTAGGACAACCCGACTCTCTTCCTTTCCCTCCAATATTTCTAGATCAACTTTGTACAAAACACACAGCAAGTTCACACTTCTGATGTTTGCTGGAAGATTCAGGCTAATGGAACTTATGTTGGGTGTATTCAAAAAAGATACTTTAATACTTGGGCCTGGTCTACACTCGGGGGATCTATCTAAGATACGCAACTTCAGCTACGAGAGTAGCGTAGCTGAAGTCAACGTATCTTAGATCGACTTACCTCCCGTCCTCACGGCGTGGGATCGACGGCCGTGGCTCCCCCATCGACTCCGCTTCTGCCTCTCACCCTGGTGGAGTTCCAGAGTCAACGGGGAGCACGTTCGGGGATCGATTTATCGCGTCTAGATGAGACACGATAAATCGATCCCCGGTAGATCAATCGCTACCCGCCAATCCGGCGGGTAGTGTGGATGTACCCTTAGATATAATACTTAGTCCTGCCTTGAGTGCAGGGGACTGGACTAGATGACTGCTCGAGGTCCTTTCCAGTTCTATGATTCATATGAATAGTTAATTCTCAAAGGTACCTGTCAATCATGCTAGAGATTAGCTTTCATATTAAAAATGTCATGAAATCATTAGCTAACAAATAGATCAGTATCCACAAACTCTTCCTACTGAGCAAAAGTAAAAATTTCCCCCTCCAACTCATTGGTGAGGCACCCATTCAAGCTGCCTCTCTAGGAGAATACGTAAGCCTTATACCACATTATAAATGATGACTAGTCAAGGTTGCTTTGTACTTGGATGGAGGAAGTGTTTTGAATCAAGGATCTGTAGCTGAAAATGCCCAGCCAGCAGTCTCATCCATTTGGGGTTGCATAGGTCCTAAAGAATAGAATACAGCCCAAAAACTCTTTCTAGATCGTGGGTTCAGAAATCACTCAGACACTTTGTGTATTTCTGATATTCAGCCTGAAGTTCTGAGATTCTACCATCATCTTCCCTTTCTTTCATCCCCTGCTTTGGGATCTGTGAGCCTGTTTTTTTTAGATATTTCCGCTAGAGGGTAGCACTTGTCTTTCTAAATAGCAGATGAAGTTAAGTGAGTACAGTACTTCTGTCTTTCGGAGGGGAAGACAAATAATTCTTCCCTACTGCTTTGAAAAGTTTGGTTTTTTTGTGATCTTAAAGACCCACTGAAACTTCAGCATGTCCTACAGAATTCCCTTCCGTTCCTAGACCATTCCATCAGTAAAAGCCACATTCTCACTTTCCCACCCCCGTCAAGGTTTAATTGTCCGGGATACTTTAATGAAAACAGGATTGACTCCTTTTCCCCCCCTGTTGCTTTTCATCTGGTAATCTAAGCAATTAGAGTTTGATCCAAAGTGAAATCAGGGTAAAGACTCCCATTGACTTGAACTTTGGATGAGGCCCTTGCTTAGTGTGTCACATCTTGAAAGTGCTGTACAAATAAACGAATCCTCCCAGCAGTCCTGTGAGGTTAGGTTCCTTCCCCTAGAAACTGAGAGAGAGTTAGTTTAAAAGGACTTTTTCTAGTCATGATTCTTCCTGAGACATCTAAGCTTTCAAAAGTGTCTGATGTCGGTTAGAAAAACAGGCATAGGTGGGTATGAAGTGTGGAATTTGTATGTCTCAGTGCAACCTTCGTTATGGGCTCTCTAACAAAGCTTCCATACTTTTGTAAACACAATCCCAGATTACCCTGCAGTTGTGCCTCTTGTAGCTCATTAGTGCATCTAATATCCATCCTTCTTCCCTACAGCAAAAAAAACTTTCATCTAAGGTCACAGTTCCCAGCCAGATGGCTGCAACCTCCTCCTTTTTGGCCCTCTAACCACTCATCTGCACCCTTCCAACTGACACACACATAGATAGCAACCAAGTTACATTCTTGCCCAGATCACCCTCCTGAGATGTTGTGGAGAGTTAGACCTTTCTTCTAGGGGGATTTGAATGGAGAGAGTGTAGCAATGCTGTGAACTTGCTAAGGCAGTGCACTTCTTGCCTAGGCAGTGGTATGGAAGGTTTGGAGATAGCTGCTGGTGAAGCAAAGGACAAGATGGCTGAAGAATTATGCAGGGCCTTGAAGACAAAGACAAGAAGCCTGGTCTTTGATTTGGTGGAGCAATTCAAAGTGGGGAGGACCATCTGGGCAAGAATGTAACTTGGTTGCTGTCTTTGTGTTTTAATTGACAGATGAGTAGTTAGAGGGCCAAAAAGGAGAAGGCTGCAGCCATCTGACTGGGGGATGAGACCCTGGATGAAAGGGTGGTGGGTTGTTGTTGTTTTTTTGGGGGGGGTCTGTAGGGATAAACGAGGATGGATCGTAGATGTACTAACTAGAGGAAGAAGTGACCGTACTTTGATGTGGCCTGGATGGTTAGGGCACGGAGGGGCAGAGTGATATTCTTGTGTATATAATAGAAACAAATTCTTTAAGCTTTCTTGGTATTTTAAACCGAATGTGTTTTCTCCCCTGTGAGAAGTTCCATGTGATCACTTGGCTCTTCAGGAAATTCAAGCGTTTCCCTTGGAGACAGCAAATGGGAGTCTGGTGTAATGGTTAGAAAAGTAGGGAAAGAATCAGTATCCCTGGCTTTATTTCAGATTCTGCACCAAACTTAGCAGCATTATTGTACCTTCCAACCTGGACTGTAGGTTGTCTAATGGTAAGTAAGTCAGGGTGCCACAGTTCTATTCTCCCAGGCCTGCCATTGTTACTTTGAACCAGTCGCTCAACCTCTCTACCCAATTTTTTTCATATTGGGGCACTCTCTCTAGAGAGACACCTTGAGCCAATAGGGGTGTCGAGGTTTTATTCAGTGTTTGGCTTGCTCTGAGATCTTGGCACAACATAATTGGCGAGAAACTTTATAACATACTTGGTTTTGAAATTAAAAAGATCCACGGCTTTCTCAGCAGAAGAGCGACTTGTTTAGCTAGTTCAAGCTAGGCTTCTGGAGAGAGAGGTTAAAACTTTATAAAGAAACTCCATTAATCCTCTCCAAGATTCTGAAGTGTCCCTAGCCTCTGTTTGCCAGAAGTTGGGAATGGGTGACAGGGGATGGTTACCTGTTCTATTCATTCCCTCGGAAGCTCCTGGCACTGGCCGCTGTCAGAAGACAGGATATTGGGCTAGATGGACCATTGGTCTGACCCCAGTATGGCCATTCTTATGTTCTTAAGATTAGTTAAAGCTTTGTTAATATGAGTGAAAACTTCCCTGTGTTTTCTGTTCAGCTGCAGGCATGGAGGAGGGAGCAGAAGCTGCTTTTTAAAATTAAGCCAGCTAGAGCAAAGTCCTCCTTGCTTAGGAGGAAGAATGCCAGTTGGCTAACAAGGAGAATAGCTAGGGTGCTGTCTATTGTCCGGCTTGACTGCTTTTTGTTCCAACTGTTCCTGGCTCCTCCACGCTTTTGGACCGTAATAACTCTTAGGGGGCTAAAGTCTTCTAACACTGACCCGATAAATTGGGGATCAAATTTCGGTCGATTCCGGGCTTTCTTGGGAAATTGCTGGATCCTTAAGTGGACGAGATTGCTGCAGCCGTGCTCCTCTTGCGTGTAGAAGTGGCACCGTGAGGAGCACCTGTCCAACCTTCTCTCCAACCTGTCCTGTCCAACCTTCTCTCCAAATTCCGGTTGTGGTTTCCCCCTGGAATATTGTCCTCTCCATGCCTAGTGCTAAAACCTCAGTCGTCTTCAGGCCTGGGGATGGTAACCAAAGTGTCTGAGGCTCTGTTTTCACTAGAAATACTGCCATGGTAGCACTGCAGTGTAGACACTCTGCAGTGACAGGATGGGGTTCTCCCATTGCTGTGGTTAATCCTTCTCCCCAGGAAGCAGGAGCTAGGTCAACCGAACAATTCTTCTGTCGACCTAGTGTTGTCTACACCTGGGCTTAGGTCAGCTTAACTACATTGCTCAAGGGGGTGGATTTTTCACACCCCTGAGTGACGTAGTTGGCTTGACTTCACTTTTTTAGTGTAGACCTTGCCTGAGCTAAATACAAGTAGGGGCAAATTGTTAAGCAGAAGGAACCCATGTGTGCTGTGGGAGACCACTTAAAATGAAGTGGACAAGCAATAGGGATCCATGCTGTGCCGGGCACCTCAGACTCGCATGAAATCGTGGTTCCTACCCCCAGAGCGTAGTCTCAAATAGACACTATGCTAATAAAGGACTGGGGAGAGGGAACAACGAATATGTGCTGTGATCAAGGTGCTAGTTACTACGTTGCATGTCAATTTCACTTGAAAATATTTTTTTACATCCCTTCTCACCTGTTCATCCCCCTACCTACATCCTCATCCCCCTCCCATAGATGCCCTTCAGTTTTCTCTCCAGAAAGGAGGGCTTGAGCGGCTATTTCTGGGATATGAACCTGTTGTTCCAGTGACTCTGGAGGTTCCAAGCATGATGATTCGGTCAGTTTGCTGGCTGGAGATGTAAAGACGTGCTGGTCAGAACCCTTTAAACGCTGCTTAGCGCCCTATTGAACTTGGCTGGTCAAAGTTAGCTGTAGGAGAGCATGCTCTGTGCCAGCTGTTGAGTTTAACTGAGGACCTGTGTGGGATGCTTTTGGGCCTGTTGTCATGGTATTTATACAATATTTCCATAACAAGTGTTCCCACGTCCTGGGCAGCCAAGGGAGAGCAGTCTGTTTGTGCTTAAATCTTACCAAAAATATCCAGATGCCATGGGGAAGGGGACTGACTTTGTATTTTAGCTCACTACTCCTATATGTGGGGGAAAGTGAGGGGGGGGGGGACCTAATAGTCCAACACCACCAAAGGCCTGATCTCTCACTGCCTTGCCCTCCTGGCAGCATTTACACCTGGGCAAAGCGGGTGTGAAACTGGAATTCTGCACTTGCATGCACCCACTGTGCCCGGGTGCAGATGCCTCTGCAAGGGGCAGTGCACTGGGGAATCACTGTAATGCATGGAACTTAAACGGGAATTAACTCCTGCAGTTGTACGATATGAAAACTGAAGTTCAG